CCCCAAAACCCCAAAACCCCAAAACCCCAATGGGATCGGAAATGTTGAAACATCCTCTTTGAATTGATAATGTTTCTCATTTAGAGCAACCTTTCAACAATACAGAAAAATCAGAGGAGCCTATTTTCCATACATCGAGGCAAACTTCCTTTGAACCAATCTTTTGGATTGCTGTTTTAAGAATTGGCGCAATCGTTTTTAACTCACATGAGCTCCACTCTCAATCCCTATCTCAGTTCAGTTCTAGTTTAGATATATTGGTAAAGAACTGATGTTCGAGAAAGCGTGAAACTTCGCCTATATTTTTGTCACAATCCTGTATGGTTAATCACTTGAGATCTTTAATCTCAACATTGTCTTTGATGATCGCATTCATAAATTCTACATCCTTTGCTATACTAAGGTCGATCTTCAATTCATCAAGCCTTTTTGATTTAAGATCACACTTCATCACTTCTTCGTATAGTTTCTCTAATTCTCTGCCTTCATATATTTCCTTTAAATATTCTTCTGTGGCTTTCTTATCCTCTTCCATAATCTGAGGTTCTTCTGGGTTAACGATTTCTTCTCCTAATTCTAGTTCTTTAAGTTTATGGACTTTATGTGTAGTATTAAAATTCATCATAAAACTACAATAGCTGGCATAAACTTCATTTTTCAGAACTCTTTCTGAGAGTTCAAGTATGGATTTGAGCAAATCCCCATATTCCAAAAATCTGTCATGCCTTATTGAGTTTTCAAGTTGCTCTCTCATTTGGATGATCTTAGAATGATATTCTGGAATAAACTCATCGATTCCATCTATATGCATCTGAATTTTTAGCTTCTGACTGTCTTCTTTCATAATATCGAGCATTTTTAGGAGGTGAGTGATGTTGTCATCTATTCTGGCTGGAATAATAATCTCTTCAACTTCTCACTCTCTGTGGTACTTGTCTTTGCAGCCATAACACAGAATGGCTTTGTGGTGGCGGCAGAACACTTTCCTTTCGGATTTGCACAGTTCGGTAAATCAAGTTTTCATCTTTTATTTTATGTTTTGTTTCTTTCTGATGTAGAAAAGGGTAAATTAATAAAGCATAATCTAATGAAAATTTTACATAAATCCTGGGGTTTTGGGGTTTTGGGGTTTTGGGGTTTTGGGGTTTTGGGGTTTTGGGG